AAAGGCCTCAAATCAGGGACCGAAGACTTCACGAAAGAGGTTCACGAATCCGTCGAAGCCGCGAAACTGGCCATGGTCATAAGAATAGACGAAGTCGATCAGGAAGTCCGAAACGCAAGATCTGACATCCAGAAAATCAGCTACCAAACCCTTCTTCTGGAACTTCGTCAACGCGACCACCAATTCGATGAGTTCAAGGATGAGGTCATCTCCAAGCTGAATGCCATGGAGCAGAAAATCGAGATCCTGCCGGAGATCCTCTCGACGTTGAAGGCCATCCAAGATCGTATGGGTAGAGAAGCCTCACCGGAGAAATTGAAGGATGAGGACTTTTTCAAAATCGAAGATAGTCCAGAGTACGAGCCGCAGTTCACAGCACCGTCTCAAGTTGCAGCAGACGTTAATCCCAAGGACGACAAGTCAATTCGTGAAGCGATACGTGCTAATCAGAAAGAACTAACAAAAGTGGAACATGCGATCTTCTCAATCAGGCATAAAATTGAAGAGGAACAGAAGACAAGTGTGGCTTCACCTGAAAGGAGAACAAAGATCGATGCGCTCAAGAGGGAGAAGTACAAGCTCATTGACGAAGAGATGAAATTGAAGCAGAAGGTGAGAGATCTAAAGCTGATGCTGGCGGAATGGACCAAGGCGCTACCGCGAAGTAGCCGCGGATCGCCTCGACGAAGTCGCATGGGTACGCCACCTCGAAGTAGCCGCGGATCGCCTCGACGAAGTCGCATGAGTACGCCATCTCGAAGCAGTCGCGGATCGCCTCGACGAAGTCGCATGAGTACGCCACCTCGAAGCAGCCGCGGATCGCCTCGACGAAGTCGCACGGATACGACGCGTCGAAGCAGCAACGAGTCACCTCGAAGAAGTCGTAAGGAAACTCCACGTCAAAGCAGTCATGGCTCGCCGCCCAAGCACAATTAGCCGGGGAGTATAGAGAAGACTCTATGATAATCATTTTATTGTGGTTAGATTGTATCTTTTATGTAACTTTGTATTCCAATCCATTGTACTATCTCTTAGAAATTTCATTGATTTCCTCTGATGACTCATTGTAACTTGAAGAAAAGCTAATCTCTCGGCTGATCAAGCTAAAGGAATGTAATCATAATTCTGCTCCGCCCATTACTTATCGTATATAAGGAGCTACGATTCCATAGCTTCGGAGTTTTCCATTCCTACAGATTGTCTCCTTGGTGCGAACAATAAAGGATTCAAGCTACTTTCTCGAAGAAACCGCGTGGCAGCATATTACGAACTTCTGAAACAACCTAATGTGATTACCCAGAATGAACCATCTCAATCTTACAAGGCGACCATATGAGGCATGCTAAAATGTTTAAGAAATCAAAATAACATGAATGCGACATTTTCCATATTATTTTTGCCTCAGCGACTAAGCTTCAGCAGTTGAAATTTTTCATCATTTTCAGAACTTCTATGCTCCCCAGTAAGCCAGGAGAATCTGACAAATCACTGGTTTGGGTGCTTACGGGAATGGCTTTTCTAGGGAGCATCTGAGGAATCGAACGTCTTCGCGACGTCACAAGCCCTCCTTCACTGCTTTCACCGTCTTCGGAATATGACGCCATCCGTCGTCACCGCAGAGGTCTGGAAGGCCTATCATAAACGCTCCCTGAAGCTGCTGCATAATTTCTTCAAACGGTTAGTTGGTATAGCATTCCAGAATCAGTTGCTCCGACAAACAATAAGACCGCTTTTGACCAGCGTGTCAGATGACGCCGTAATGATCCACGATTCGTGCAACATGTGCACCAGGGAAATATTCTGATGGTGTTAGAAGACTGTCATGGATTTTTCTATAGATTTGAATGCTTTCTTCGGTTTCCAGCTGGAATTTGTTCGGTTTGAATTTAGCAAAGGGTAATTAACACAATTTCGAATGTGGAAGGAAGCGACTTTTTCTGCCCCTCTTTCTACCGTGGATTGCATCAACATTAACAATTAAGCCGTACTTATCCCTTATTCCAGAAGCATTCTTTGAAAATTGATCCCCTCACAGAAGTAGGCTTCGAAGGTTATTTTGACCACATACTTGCTTGCCGTGAAAGCCTCCAGGGGGTGTGCGACCTGGCGCAGTTATTAGCGAATGGTGCCAGGGACGGTAGTAAAGTGCCATAGACTGGGAGTTAAAGGTGGTGAACTACGGCCGTAAACGGTGAATAATGAAAGGCGAGACAGCCAGATGACCCCGCTCTGAATGGCGAACTTCACTACATTCCTAGCAAAAGTCGCGTCGCCATGGACTTGAACCATGTAATGCAGCGCGACGTTTGCCACTGCACCACAAAGCATTGCTGGGTTACTTTGAAAGAATTGTAGAAAGCAAGGTAGTAACCTATGAGGGTTGCAAAACACCGAGTATCATGGAGAATTGATCCCGCGAGCGATCCAATGTCAACAAGGAACGAACCCACTGCGCCAATCGACGTGTTTGAAACGTGGGATCATGGCCTAGATGATTGTACAGGGGTGAAATGCTCCCAGGACCAAGGAAGGAGCTATAACACGATCAATAAGTGGAACACTGCAGGGGACAGCTGATCACCTTATTGGCAGAAAGTTATCAATATTATCGATAGCTCCAGTGGCTTTCTTGCTGCCCACACTCAACACCTTCCACGAACCCCCTTCTTCCCTGCGCTCTGCGCATGGCAGGGACGCAGAGACGCTCAATGCGACCAATGCATGACGTGCAGAGAAAGGGGAAAGTGCATGGGGATTGAAGAGACGCAGATAGACGGCGACTAAAATGTACTCAGGGGTACATTTTAGTCGCCCTCTACATGACCCTCTGCGTCTCTGCAATCTCCACGCACTTTCCCCTTTCTCTGCCGGGTTCGCCGTCTAGGCAAGGTGCCACCTTATACGTTGGCCACTTAAGATGTTGCCTAGACCTCGGCAGGTCAGCGCGAGTTTCCCGCCTTTCCCAATGCTTTTTAGGTGCGGACGAAGGCGACGTCAACGCGACCTATTGGCCAACTATAGACTGGCCGTTCAGGAGACTTTACTACCGTCCCAGACGTTTTTAACAATCGCTCGCAAACACTTGCACGGGAAGCTAGGGACAAGCCGTGAGGACGCAACGTTGATAAAATTGCTTATAGCCAGGCTAGTAAGATAGGAAACTCCGATTGGCAGATCTGTAAAGCAGATTTGGGATACAGAAGTCCACCAAGCGATACGTATGTCTATCTCATTTTAGATGAGCAAAGTGGCGCCCATCATAGCGAACAGTGCTTGCGGCAGCAATTGGCAACTACGTAGCTCAAGATCAAGAAGCCAGGGAAAAATGGTTTGTCAAGTGAAGGAGATTAGACAACGGGAGTGCACAGAAGTGGGCGGCCATGAAATCAACAATTTTAAGAAACTCAAGAAGCGCATGGAAGCTGTGAAAGCCTGGATAAAGGCTAGCGAAAGATAAAATGTAATGCGCGCATAGTGGAAGGCGTAGATCGAGATTGACGATGCTGAAATCGGAAATTACACTCTCTTTCTCCGTTTCGCTTACCCTCCTGTGCCGACTTTGTAAATTGAGGGATCTTAGGTCGGTCCATAAGTCTTGCAACAAACTGGCTGAATTTTGAATTTAATATTTTTATTATCTTTTTGTTCCATTCATCCAGCATGCTACCCACCATCAATATCTACAACCTATTGCCAACACACTAGTAGCTGTTCGATGCCTCCCTTGTAGGACTCTACTGAATTCTGATCGAAGAAAGATCAGATGTCGATTTTGACATCATCATAGTTAGGATGAGCTTTCTTCTCTAGGAGATGGTTTGGAGAGGGGAGCAGAAGGGCATTATTTGGCACGAGGTCAGGGCTATAACGTGGATACGGAAGAACTCTCCGTCCAGAGTCTCAAAATTTTCCTGAATTTTCTTAGCAAGAGGTGGTTCAACGGTGTCATACAAAAGCAAACTTTGCCTTGTTTTTCTTTCGTATTAAAGCGTTGCATTCGAGCTGTGGATAGTTGACTTTCGCGTTGACTGCGACATCTACACGTAGGGGTTTCCAGAGCTTAACTCCTCTCGTGTTCCACCAAAAATCCGAGAAGGCCCTACTTGGACGAGGTTGAACTTAAGCAAGTAAGATCTCCCGAAGCGTTTGAGCTGGACTACCGCCGCTTGTTCATTTGTTAGTAAACTGTACCCACTCCTCATCTTCGGCAAATGTGATGGATGGTCAATCGTAGAATCCCTAGTAAGTCGACTTGAACATAACGGTGTCAGATCGTGTTTCGGGCTCAAGGCACGTGGGGACCAAACTCTACATTTTCGGATCTTCACAAGTCTTTGGAGATGCCACAGTGCTGTCTCCTTGTCGCATCGGAATCGCTCTAGCAAATGATCGATACTCTATCCAGATCCCTTTTCAACAGCGTCAGATAGAGCATCGTGATTGTCAGTCACAGGGTGGTTGGAGTGTGGGTTATTTTCAAATAAAAAAGTCAACGCTGAGCAGAGTGAAGCGCCGTTGCACTGTGGTTTGAGAGAGCGTGCCCTCGCCTATCTTCTGGCCAATCCTTGGTCTAGCATGACTTGCGGAACATTCCAAGCAGTACTCGTAAAAATTAAGGGCACCGAGAGCCCTCTCGCGAAATCGGTGTAATATCCATAATAAGTAAGCAGACAACGAGCTGGACCGTTGGCTGAAATTGCAAAGGTTGATGCTACGTCAGGAAATATGTTGCGGATTTTCAGGAGTTCTCCCAAAAATTCTCTAGCATTAAATGTAATTTGTTGCAAGATTCATGGACCTAATAGAATTGAGAAGCGACCAAAGCCTACACATGATTCCTACTGAACAGGGGTGGGTTTCTAGCGGTGGACCTCCATGCTATTCGAGAGAATAACTTGGAGAGTTTGAGGCCTTCTTTTGCTCGTAATAAGAAAAGGTATTTGAATTGTGCTACGTCTATGACAGGATTATTGGGTCTACATGATCTGCTTTCAGCCATGACAAACCGAGGGATTACGATAAAGTGTGCATGCAGCATGGAAGTACATGCACCAGTGGAAGCAGTAGTCAGGAGCCGAAGGAAGCGAGATGTGGCCTTTTGTGGCCAAAGGCGCGCTAGCTATAGCGCTATTGAGCTACCAGGCCTTTCTGAGTTGTGCCTCGGCCTGTGCTCCATCCATCAGCGTGTTGCCAGCAGTAGAAGTATTCGATTATCATTCTGATTTTCTAGGTATTCCATCTCAAGCGCGTATTCTATGTTTTGCATGGAATGTGCTCTTGATCAAAGGATGATTTTTGCTAGCATGATTATGGCTATTTGTTCAAAGTGCGCAAACACCCTTTTGATTAGTAGCTGACTCGTTCATTATCGGGGGTCAACAGTCAAAGAAAGTGGGTCCACTTTGCGCTTTTTGGAGGGGTTTTTCCAGCTTTTTTGCCACTGGGGCACTACTCAGCATCATTAGGCAGGGATAGCCGAGTGGTTAAGAGGTTAGACTCATGTCTGCACCTCTGAAAACCGCGAGTTCGATCCCTGCCGAGGTTAACCATGCCTTGCAAAAATTGCAAAAATGGTTCTAGTACCAGCGTCAGGCCCAGGTTGACAGGCCGGCTGATGAACACCCCAGTCACACCAAACATGTCTAAAAGTCGCAAAAGAATCAGTGATAAAGCTAGGACGTCACCCGGAAGTGGCGCGCAGAACCCCCGCCCGAGTTCTGTGGTCAGTATGCGAGGGCTACCGAGGAGTGAACGGCCTCGGCCAAAGAAGCTAGTTCGAATGGGACTCTGAACGTAGGATCGCTAACTGGGAAGTCCCGAGAGGTTGCTGATCTGATGACGCGCAGGAATATCCAAGTCCTATGCCTTCAGGAGACGCGATGGAAAGGTGCTAAGGCCAGGGAAATCGGGGAAGGTGTCAAACTCTACTACAATGG